GCTGCAGCCCAGTGTGCCCCACCCCACGCAATTCCTGGGGCATGCAGTTCCCACCCACCCCCCATGCCCTCCCAGGTTGCCTGGTCCCCCCATACCCTCCCCCCGGGTGAGCTGCTCATGGCTCTGTCCCACCCTGCCCCTGCTCCAGCCTCGCTCACTGCTGTTGGGGTGGGGAGAGCAGATCAAGGCCCCAGTGGTGAGAGAGGGAGTGGGGCTAGGGCTGGGGCCTTGACCTGCCCCACTCCCTCCACCCCTTCCCTTACAGACTTACCTGCTGGGGAGATGTGCCCCCAAATAATGTTTTCTCCCTCTGCCTCAATCTGCACCCCCCTTCCCTCCCCACAGACTTACCTGCTGGGTTGGGGGGAGCGCAGGGTAGATCTTGGGTTCCTTTCAAAAATTCCGAAAGTGATCTCCGACATAAAAAGGTTGGAGACCGCTGCCGTATGCTCTAGCAGCTCTTTCGTGGTGGAGAAGCTCCATGCATTCACTGGAGCATCCATCATATTAGCACAGGGTACTGCTACATAATTGAAAGTATTATGTTCGTAGATGCCTGGGTCGGATTGGACTTCAACAGATTGAGTCCAAACCCCTGCCTGGGCAGGAAAGAGTGCTGGGGTCAGACGATCCCAGCCAGATGCCTATCCAGCCTTCTCTTAAAGACCCTCAAGGTAGGGGAGAGTACCATCTCCCTTGGCAGCCCATTCCAAGTTTTGGCCACCGTCACCATGAAGAAGTTTTTCATGAGAGGGTCCAGAGGAGGGCCACTCATATGGTTGAGGGCCTCCGTGGGCAACCCTATGAGGAGAGGCTGAGGGACCTGAATCTCTTCAGTCTTTGCAAGAGGAGACTGAGGGGGGGATCTTGTGGCTGCCTACAACCTTATCAGGGGCCACCAGCAGGGACTCGGGGAAAGTCTGTTCACCAGGGCCCCCCTTGGGATCACCAGGAACAATGGCCACAAGCTGAGGGAGGATAGGTTTAGGTTAGATACAGTGAAGTAGTTCTTCCTAATAAGGGTAGCCAGAGCCTGGAATAGGCTTCCCAAAGAGGTGGTGCTCTCACCTTCCCTGGAGATCTTCAAGAGGAGACTGGATAGGCACCTGGCTGGGGTCTTATGACCCCTGCCACCCCCAGTGCTCCTTCCTGCCCATGGCAGGGGGTCAGACGAGATGATATGTCTAGGTCCCTTCCGACTCATTGATTCTATGATGTCTAGCCTAAATCTGCTCTCTGTCAGTTTGTGACCATTGTTCCTTGTTACCCCAAGGGTGGTGAACAGAGCATCTCCAATCCCTTGCTGTGCTCCCCACTGCTAATGAATTTGTAGGCAACCACAAGATCACCTCAGCCTTCTCTTGCGGAGGCTGAAGAGGTCCAGGTCCCTTAGTCTCTCCTCATAGGGCTTGGCCTGTAAACACTTAACCATATGAGTGGTCCTCCTCTGGACCCTCTTGAGGCTATCCACATCGTTCTTAAAGTACAGTGCCTAAAACTGGACGCAGTACTCCCAACAGATTTTTGGCCCCTTCCCCCCTTTTCCCTCGCGCTGGGATTGTCTCCCTCTGTTCCCAAAGGATCACTTCCTTTAGGAATGACCACCCTTCCTGGACTCCTATCTCGCTGATACCCCTATCTTGAAGTGCATCATTGACTAAACTCCCGAGTCCACTGAAGTTGGCTTTCCTAAAGTCAAACATTTCCACCCTACTAGTTATCTTACCCAGTTTTGCCATATGGTGAATTCAATTGATTGATGGTCATTGACCCCAAAGTGAACATGAATCTGCAGCTTCCCCACCAG